TTTTTATTACCGAAAATAATTCTTTACTTATCGAAATTTGCCGATGAACATCGTAAAATAAACAAATAAATGAGGTTATTATTGTCGAAATTGTGTTTTCTTAACATAAACGTATTGATTTGCAACTACATTCAAAAACAAGATGAAATAATTTTTTACTCTGCGAATGATAATATTTCGTCATTTTAGATATTATGCAATGATAATCAATAAAATTTTTTAATGTTACATGCAGTTAGGTCTACGATAAATATGTAAACCCGGTCTATCTAGGGATGTCTTTTCTAGTTTTATATCAAAAATCTAAAAAATCTTGATTAGCACTGTATTTGTAATAATACTATAGTACTAACCTTGAAAATTTACCCGTACTATTAGTTCGAAATTACAAAAATGGTTAATACTTTCTTCAGTAAAAAATATATATAAACACACGGAAAGTTAAATATAATTTTAACAATAATAATAATAATAAACATAATAAATTCATAGCACATAGAAATTTGAACATAACATAACAGTCATGAATCCGAAATATATTGTTTCATTTACTTTGCTTGTATTTTTATTCGTTATGTATGTTGAGGTGGATTGTGATGGAGATCCTAAGGGCAAAGGTTGTAATAATAAATTCGGTGGTATGTAAATTTTAAAACAAATCTTTATTTATTGTTCATAAAATCTTGAAAAATTTAATATTTTCTTTTCATAGCTTGTGGTGCTCAATTTATATCTGCCTCATGGGTAGAATCTGATAAACCACAGCCTGGAGAATATCCCCATGATGATAATCGATATACATATTTAAATATTACGGTTAGTACTCCTCAGAACCTACAAGCAATCGGCAAATTGGTATTTAATGATGACAATGGCCACCATGAAGAACTTATAGGAAAAGATGCTATATGGGTTTATGACGCGCAGAGTACCACATACACATCTTTATGGTCAATTGATAGGAACAATAAACCTAGCTATGTATGGGCTGATGTTTGGGCTACAGTATATTGGGCATGCAACACAGAAAATCCAAATTGTGCTTCCGAACATTTACACTTACGGGTTTGGGCTCCCTAGTTTTTATATAACAATAATTATCATAAAATTTTCAACAAATTAATTTCTGCTAATGCTTTTTACAAACTAAACCCTTTTTTGGTTTATTTTTTGTTATTTATTCCAGCTTCATTTTATCATCATGAAATTTTGTGAACTAGATTTTTAAATTTTAAATATCTTAAAATAAATGTGTGTTCGTCGTGAGCCTATTATTCCCTCTAAAAGATTACATTGCTAGGTTTAAATTTAAAATGCTGCTTTAATTTAATAAATTTTAATAAATTTTAATCAATATGATTTTTTTTAATTGCTGATTGCATGATATTAAGCGAATAAAATGTGCAAAAATAAATTTAAAACGATAATACTGGATGACTACAGTTACCCCCTGCTATAATATCCCTATAAAAAATCCGGGTACATTTCATAGGGGCACAGTTTAGAAAATTGAAAAGGACTTGAGTAGTAGCCTG